GGCCTTACCTCCACTCTCCCTTTAGTTCTCTCCACTCCAGCCACATCAGGTCTCTTGGCACTTTCTTGAATACTAGTCAGTCTCCTTCTCTTTTTGCTGAGGAAGATTCACCCTGAACTAACATCTGTTGCCAATCTTCCTCTTTTTTTATATGAGCCACCGCCAAACATGGCCACTGACAGATGACTGGTGTGGTTCCACACCTAGGAACCGAACCCAGGCTGCTGAAGTGGAGCATGCTGAACTTTAACCACTAGGCCATCAGGGCTGGCCGGACAGGCTCCCTCTTAATTAAAGGATTTGCACTGGCTATTCTCTGCCTGTTAGGCCCTTACCTGAGATATCCATAATGTTTTTCTTCCATTTAATTCTGGTATCTACTCAGATGTCACCTTCTCAGAACTCAGTACAAAATAGCAACTCTCTTGTCTGCAACTTCTGTTTTTTTACTCTTCTTTTTCTTTTAAAAAATTATAACTTTCAGACATAATATCTATGTATTTATTTGTGTATATATTATCTGTCTCCTCCCACTAGAGTGTCATCTGTATGAGGTTAAAGACATAGTTTTTGTTTACTCCTTATTCCATGCACTTAGAAAGATTCTTGGGGTATGGTAAACATTCAATTAAAAATTTTGCTTATTCAATCACTCAATAAATTTGTATTGATGTAATTTCTGGAAAGATACATAGAATACACCTAGTTTCCTTTGGAGAGGAGGACTGAGTTAGAAAATAGACCTACCCTTGGTGGTGGCACCTGTGACCCCAGCCCACTTGAAGTGGCGATGATGCCTGCAAACCCAGAACCCCCAGTAGTGGTGGTGCCAGCACCCCTAGAAAACCCAGGAACAGCAGTAGAGGCAGCACGAGTGACTCCAGCCCCCCTAGTCACAGTGGCACATGAATCTGCAAAGAGCCAGGTAGAAATGGCAGTGGAGCCTGTGACTCCAGTCCCCTCCAGCTAGAGCAGTGCCTGAACCCTGGCCCCTCACCTGTGGCAGTAGCACCTCTGGACCCAACAACTTCAGATGTGGCAGAAGTGCCCATGTCCCCAGCTCCTGCCTCATTCTCTCCCTGCCCCCATTGCAGGGGAGAACCCACAAACCAGGTAACACTGGAAGCAGCAGAGGGACACGCCAGCCTGGGGACCTTGGTGGTGATGCCTGCTACTGCTATGACACCAGCAGCAGCAAGCCACCAGCAACATCGGAGGCACAAGCAGCACAACAAGGGCACCAAGGACACTGCTAACAGAGGCAGTGGAGGGTGAAAGTACCGGTTCTCAAATACAACCAGAAGCAGCTCAGAATCAAAGTGAACAAAGCATTACCTGAATAAGCAAGATACTCACTATTACAAATGCACCAGCAGAGGAAAAACTCCTCAAGCACCATGAAAAATTATGGTGACATGTTATTACAAAAAGAAAATGACAATTCTCCAGAAAGCAAACTTGAAGTTATGGAAGATTGTAATTTAACCAACAGAGAATTCTGAATAGCTGTCATAAAGAAACTCAATGAACTAGAAGAAAACTCAGAAAGACAGTTCAATGAACTCAGAAATAAAATTAATAAACAGAAGGAGTACTTCATCAAAGAGATTGAAATTCTAAAAAAGAACCAAGCAGAAATTCTGGAGTGGAAGAACTCAAAAAATGAGATGAAAAAGACAGTAGACAACACTGGAAATAGAGCAGACCATGTGGAAGGGAAAATTAGAGACGTTGAAGATAGAACTTAGAAATGATGCAGGTAGAAGAGGAGAGAGAACTAAGATTTTTTAAAAGTGAAGAAATTCTATGAGAAATATCCAACTCTATTAGAAAAAGCAACATAAGGATAAGGGGTATCCCAGAAGGAGAAGAGAGGGAGAAGGAAGCAGAAAGCCTACTTAAAGAAATAATAGCTGAAGGGCCAGCCCCATGGCTGAGTGGTTGTGTTCACACACTCTGCTTCAGCAACCTGGGGTTTCGCTGGTTCGGATCCTGGGCACGGACATTGTGCCACTCATTGGGCCACGCTGGGACGACATCCCACATGCCACAGCTGGAAGGACCTACAACTAGAAATACACAACTATGTACCACATGGCTTTGGAGAGAAAAAGGAAAAAAAGTAAAACCTTAAAAAAAAAAAAAAAAGAAGTAATAGCTGAGAACTTCCCAAACCTAGGGAAAGAACTGGATATATAAGTACGTGAAGCTAATAGAACACTTAATTATCTCAACACAAAAGGACTGTCTCCAAGACATGTTATATTAAAACTATCAAAAGACAGGGACAAAGAAAGAATTTTAAAGACAGCCAAGGAAAAGACAGTAACCTACAGAGGAACCCCCATTAGGCTATCAGATTTCTCAGCAGAAACTCTACAGGCCAAGAAAGAGTGGAACAATATATTCAAAATATTGAAAGATAAAAACTGTCAGCTAAGAATACTCTAACCAGAAAAATTATCCTTCAGGTATAAAGAAGAAATAAAGACTTTCCCAGACAAATGAAAGCTGAAAGAGTTCACCACCACTAGACCTGCCTTACAAGAACTGTTGAAAGGAGCTTTACTACCAGAAATGAAAAGGCAAAGGTAAAACTTTGAGTAAGGTGATAAATAGAGAGAACCAGGTAATTTCAAAGCTATTACAGAATAGGGTGTTAAACACTTAATTGTAGCATAAAAGTTAAAGGAGAAAAAAAACCATTAAAAATAACTAAAGCTACTTCAATATGGTAATGAACTCACAACATAAAAAGAGATAATTTGAGACAACAAAAACATAAAAGGGGAGGAGGAAAACCTGTATAGGCAAATCAAGATATGATGTTATCAACAGATAAAAGACTATTTTATCTCTGAGACATTGTATACAACCTCATGGTAACCACAAAACAAAAATCTAGAGCAGACACACAAATACAAACAAAAGGAGAAACTGAGAAACACATCACAAAAAAACCACCAAACTAAAATGGCAAGCAGAAACATAAGGGAAAAGAAACAATGGAAATATAGAACAACCAGAACACAAAAGATAAAATAGCAGTAGTAAGTCCTCATATAATAATAATCACCCTAAATGTAAATAGATTGAATTCACAATCAAAAGGCAAAGAGTGGCTAGATGGATTAAAAAACAAGACCCAACAATATGCTGCCTCCAGGAGACCCATCTCAGCTCTAAAGACAAGCGTAAGCTCAAAATGAAGGAATGGAAGAAGATACTCCAAGCAAATTGCAACCAAAAGAAAGCAGGTGTAGCCATACTTATTTCAGACAAAATAGACTTGAAGCTAAAAAAAGGTAACAAGAGACAAAGATGGACATTACATAGTGATAAAGGAGACTCCTTCAAGAAGATATAACGTTAATTAATATTTATGCACTCAATGGGAGAGCACCAAAATATATAAAACAACTATTGACAGAACTAAAGGGAGAAATTGAAAGCAATATAATAGTAGGGTTCTTTAATACCCCACTAGCATCAATGGATAGGTCATCCAGGTAGCGAGTCAACAAGGAAACATTGGCCTTAAATGACACATTGGACCAGATGGACTTAATAAATATATACAGAACATTGCATCCAAAAGGAACAGAATATGCATCCTTCTCAAGTGCACATGAAAATTCTCAAGGATAAAACATATGTTGGGAGACAAAACAAGTCTCAATAAATTTTAAAAGATTGAAATAATACCAAGCCACAGTTTTTCTGACCACCACAGTATGAAACTAGAAATCAACTACAAGAAGAAAACTGAAAAAAATCACAAATACGTGGAGACCAAACATCCTACTGAACAACTATTAGGTCAAGGATGAAATCAAAGGAGAAATAAAAAAATACAGAGAGACAAGTGAAAATGAAAATAAGACATACCAAATTTATGGGATGCAGCAAAAGCAGTACTAAGAGGGTAGGTTACAGCAAAAAGGGACCTACCTCAAGAAACAAGAAAAAATCTCAAATAAACAGTCTAACCTTACACCTAAAGGAAGTAGAAAAAGAACAAGTCAAGTCCAAAATCAGCAGAAGGAAGGAAATAATAACAATCACAGGGGAAATAAACGAAATAGAGACTAAAAAAATCAGTGAAACTAAGAGTTGGTTCTCTGAAAATATAAACTAAACTGACAAACTTTTAGCTAGACTCACTAAGAAGAAAAGAAGACTCAAATACATAAAAACAGAAATAAGAGAAGCCGTAACTGATACCACAGAAATAGAAGTGATCATAAGAGACTACTACAAACGGCTATACACCAACAAATTAGAAAATCTAGAAGAAATGGACAAATTCTTAGATCATACAACCTTCTGTGATTGAACTATGAAAAAAATAGAAAATCTGAATAAACAGAACACCAGTAAGGAAACTGAAACGGTAATGAAAAACTTCACAAAAAATAAAAGTCCAGGACCAGATGGCTTCACTGGTAAATTCTACCAAACATTCATGGAAGATTTAATGCTTATCCTTCTCAAACTCTTCCAAAAAATTGAGGAGGAGGGAATGCTTCCTAACTCATTTGAAAGGCCAACATTACCCTGAAACCAAAACCAGACAGGGACAACACCCAAAAAGAATATTACAGGCCAGTATCTCTGATGAACATAGATGCAAAAATTCTTACCAAAATATTAGCAAACTGAATACAACAATACATTAAAAGGATCATACAGCTCAATCAAGTGGGATTTATTCCAGGAATGCAGGGATGGTTCAAAATCTGCAGATCAATCAACATGAAAGACCACATTAATAAATTAAGGGATAAAAGTCCTTGATCATCTCAACGGATGCAGAGAAAACATTTGACAAGATTCAGCATCCATTTATGATAAAAAAAAATTCTGAATAAAATGGGTACAGAAGGAAGTACCTCAACATAATAAAGACCATATATGACAAACCCACAGCTAACATCATACCCAATGGTGAAAACTGAAAGATATCCTTTTAAGAAAAGGAACAAGACAAGGATGCCCACTCTCACCACTTTTATTCTTTTTTATTGCGATAACATTGGTTTATAACATTGTATAGGTTTCAGGTGTACAACATAATAATTTCACATCTGTATATACTACAGCGTGCTCACCACCAAAAGTGTAGTTTCCATTCATCACCATATAATTGACCCCCTTTGCCCATTTTGCCCCCACATCCTTCCCCTCTGATAATCACTAATCTGTTGTCTGCTTCTAAGAGTTTGTTTTTGTGTCGTTTGTTTTGTTTTGGTTAATCAGCTGTGGGCTAATATAGACAAATTTTTCATAGCTAAATTGCGAAGATACTATGCTGTATCTAATGAGATAATACAGAGTTCAGGAAGCTATACTTTAATTTAAATTGAGTGGTCAGGGAAGGCAAAGATATTTGTTAAAAGATAAACTGAGGCACATTAACATTTTTTAGTTTATTTGAGCAAAAATTGATTTGAATCAAGCATCATCTAATTTAGACTGGATTGCAATATCTTCAAGAGTTAAGGAGAGCTCCCTGAACATAGCCTCATTTGCACTTACTCCTAGCCAGGGGAGTAGAGATCTGCTGAAGGAAGTGAACTTTTTAAATCATGGATGCCTCCTGGCAATTCCAATTTTTGTCTGTGGCTCAGGACTAGAAAGTTGACAGCCATGGAGGTGAGTAAAACTTAAGGGACTGTAGACTGCATGGGTGGTTTTATTCTGGTTGCCTTTATCTTGTGTCCCTTTCTTTGTACAGAGCCTAGAAGCAAGGTCCCCTGGGTTTGGAGCTGTTAACCAGAAGCGGGGAAATGGACCCCCAGGTTTGGAGAGTCTGGCATGATAGAGAAAGGAGTGAGATTGTCCCGAGAAATGGAGGCATTGGAGATCAGGGAGAAGTTTGTGAGGGCAGGGTCAACACCACTGTGGCAAATCCAACAGCCATGTTGAGGTGGGAGTACCCTCCTCTGCAGTGGCCTGAGATGTGTGAACAATGATATTATTTTTCCAGGCCAGAGCAAGACAAAACGTGAACAACCGCAACAACAAAAATAAAGACATTCATGGTGTAAAAATTAGGAAAAGGAAGGTCAGAGAGGGGAGGAGGACTGGAAAGAGACGTTCTCGATCTGACATCTTGGGAGGAAGCATCTACCTCGATGCTGGCCACTGCTCTTCCTGCTCAATTTGATTTCGATGTCTCCAGCATTTGCACAGGACCAGATGTCAGGTGGAGCTTTCTTCGGTTGTGAAATGTGCACCCAAGTTTTGACACTTTGTAATTTGGCAGCAGAGTCATGGTCCAAGAGTACTTGGTAGGGTCCTTTCCATGAATCTTCCTTTTGCAAAAGCATTAGAGTAAAATAATATCTGTTTGGAAATGACAAAAGACTTAAAAATCCCCATGGTTAAAGATCTGATCAGAGTTCATTATAATGGAATTCACAAGGAAATTTTGTTATGTCTGTGACCTACGACATTTTAAGACAATTAGTGGAATTACAACTGATAACATTATACCAGGACATATCAGATTTTTAGGAATTTCATATGGCTTCTAGAACACATATTAATAACGTGTCATACGAATATAATCTAAGAGTGTTTATCATCAGTTATTTGACAATGCTTCTGCTGTAATTTAACATACCAATAAGCCTATTAGTTTAATATCTCTCTTTTACAAAGTGAAAGACAAAGCTTTTGAGATTTTTCCAGGGGCCATCTGAGAAATTTCAAAGTTATGTTGCATTCAAAAAGATTCCACTTAGAGTCTGATTTGGGGAAGTTGTCAAAACATCTAAAAGTTTGAACCATTGACTTGGGATCACAAACCATTATGAAATAACACTTCATTATCCATTTAACCAAAGTGACAATAGAAAAGTTTAAAGTCTAATACAGAAGGTTACATAGTTGTAAACAAAACTTAGCTTTTTTAATATTGAGAAGATTGGGTTTTCTTAAGTAATCAAAAACCTAATAAAGACAATGTGAAGCATAGTAAATCATTTTGGTAAGACACAAAATCTTTGCTTTCAAGCTTTCCAGTTAGATTTAACCAAAAGGTAAAACAAACAAACAAACAAACAAAACCCAAAAAACAAAAATTTTCACAACCTCTTATCAAGGGCAGACCATAGTCTAAGAAAACTTTGTTCTCTTAACAGAGTGAAACCAAATTCTAGTTTTGCACCAGTGCACTTTTGATATTAAAATTCATTGTTAAAAAACTTAAATAAATCCATGCCGAACACATAAAATTTCTTTCCCAAGATTCCTTTTCTACAAACCTATAGCTTTTGATATCCATTCAGATTTTATCCTATGCTGTTTCCTCTTTCTCGTTCTGGAACAATCAGTCATTTTGCTTTCCTTACCTACTTTTCATATGCATTGTTTTCTTCCACTCTTGTTATTTCTAAATAGTTTTAATTAAACGTATTTATTAGAATTCTTAGCCCTTAGAATCCTTTATTCCTAGTGATAACTAAGAAGTAAGCAATTGTGGACTATTACACAAGCATTCTGTGAGTTGGCAAATTTGTAAACACATTTCATAATTTCTGGAAGTTTATCTTCCTCACAATGAATTTTTCAATGTGGCACAAAACATTGTGACACATTCCTTGCTAATAGACCACAATATCTTTAGTTACTTTGTAAAAGGAAGCCAAAAGTGGATAAACCTATGTTCAGTAATTAATGTTTCAGTATTTTATTTCATTTGGAAATGATCTAGACGTTCAATTAATACCCATTATTTAACATATTTCAGTATAACTTTAAGGTTTCAAGTTACCAAAAAAGATTTTGGAAACTATTTTTAAATAGATATACTATAAAGAATAATTATTGTTGAAAAGTTCACTTATAAACTTTTATCTTATTACATTTATTTAATTCGTTTGCTTCTTAAAAATTATGCTTAGATTAGTCATTAAAACTTCACAAGATATTACACAGCTAATCATCATCTTAAGTTATCTTTCTTGCTGACAAATTCTGTAACAGAGAGAACATGAGCTTATTTGACTTTTGCTAAACCTAGGTAGAATAAAAGTTTTATATTTAATGCTGATAACTCTCAAGACATGCCTGTTTTAATTAAACCAAAAAACTTAAACTAGCTTTTATTTACTGAAGATTATTCTAGATCACATGAACTTGAAAAACATTTGGGTTAGTTTCTATATTTTTGAGAGTACACTTGATTTATATAAACTCTTGTTTGCCTTTAAGCCAATTAAATAGAGCTCTTTACAAATTAATTTTGGCAATACCGATGCGGGGTTGGTGAGCCGAGGAGTCGAAAGAAAGATTTCTTGGACTCTCAAGGTCTGGCAGTAGTGTTCTTTTATTTAGAGAATAGTGTGGAATAGCATGGGGACAGGATCCATGGGCAGTCAGAGCTGCTGTGTGGGGACAGGACCCATGGGCAAGAGGAGCTGCTGCTGCCACTTCTGCTACAAACATGGGTGGAGAGTAAGGCTAAATTTAAGGCATAGGTATGTGAGCCATCTCTTTACAAGACAAAGGAAAGAACATGAAAAAAAGTTAAAATGTTATCAGTGCAGGTGGGGTCTGGCCATTGGGTGGTCCCACAACTTTTAGATAAGAATCAAATCGGATTCAGTAAAGGCCAGAAGCCACCACCCTAAATCAGTTACATGAGGTTGCCAAACAGTAACCAACTTAAGTCCTTGCCTTCCCCATTAAGAGTTCCCAGAGATAAGGCCATCCTGCCTTCTTCCTGACACAGAGAGGAGGCATCTTTACAGATGGAGGTTTCCCTTACAAATGTAAATGTTTCCCAACAAAGGGCAAGCAAACTCCTCTCCTGCTCCTCGGAGCCTGCTTCTCATCTGCAGTTTTAAAATTAACCAGCCTAAAACCCTCATTAATACCATCTGGAGGTAGAAAAAAATACAGATTTATAACATACATACATAGACAAACATAAACACGCAAACAGATCAAACAAAGATCTCCTAGCTTTTATTTTAAAATTTTAGCTGAGAGACAGGTATGGTAATGCAAGACTCACTAGTTTATAAAAAATCAGTTTCATCCAAGTTGTGTTTCAGGCAGAGGGAGTAAATTACCTGCTCAGATGGCTAAAGCTTTTTACTATTATTTGTGGAAGAGATTTTCAATAAGCCTAGTTTTCAAAATTGCCTTTTCTTTTTCTTTCTTCTGATATGAATGACCTTGGTTCCTAGAGAAGACCAGGTAGAATATTTACATTTCAAAAGGCACAGAGAAAGAATACAAGTTCCCCTTAGAAGGACTTTTGTTTCTGAAGCCCAGATCCTTTAGAATATCTGCAAGCCTTCTGAGATGAATATCGGAGGTTTTGGATTGGTAAAAAAGATAGATGGGCTTTGAATTGTTTCTAGATCCACATTTCTGTTCTTGTAAAGACTCAATTTGTAAGACAACTATGGTTATTTTTAATTTCTCAGAGAATGGGATTGCAACCAGATTAATATCAAGGAGGGACCCCATCTACCAAGCACATTATCCTCAGTTTGCTTCTTTATATCAGGGAGAAGATCATCAACTAAGATGGAAAACAAAAGATCCCTATGTTCTAGAGTTAGAGCTGTGTGTCTTTGGAATATTTTAGTAAATTCTTCCACAAAGACTTCAGAATGTTCTTCTTTCCCTCTGGGTATATAGTTTCATTCTAGCTTAGGGGAGAAGGCCTAAAAAAATTGTTTTCTATCAGGCTCTAAATATCAGCTTCTTATTGGGCCAACTTTTGACCATAGAGATACTTAAAAAAATCCTTTTGAATATCTTGTCAGATTTCAGCCAGGGCAAATAGTAAATATTCCTGGCAGTACTGAACAACTCCGTGGACACAAGAGGTGTCCTCAAAGAGGAAAAAAAGATACTACCTTCTCAGGATCCAGAGCCACTCTCCAAGATAAATCAAAGCAAGAAAGAAATAATTCCCCTGAGAGCTGGCAACAGTGGGTAGAATCCCAGCTGCAAGTGGAGTGCAACCCACATTTCTGTCCAGCCATGTCCAGCTGCAGATGGGGTGCAACCCACATTTCTGTCCAGCCATATCTAGCTGCAGATGGGGTGCAACCCGTATTTCTGTCCAGCCATATCTAGCTGCAGATGGAGTGCAACCTACATTTCTGTCTTGCCTTATTGTAGGGGTCCACAACCCGATGATTGCCAGGCCAGTTTCTCTGGCCACTAAAGGAGACAAACAATAAGGCAATAGTTATCCCTAGGAGGGAAAGGATCAACAACCAATGGGTACCTGAAAGCAGATTCATACTTTCAGTCAAGATCTTATTCTTACAAATGTTTTGTCCTGCCAATCTGAGTTTGGAATAGAAGCAATAATGTGAAATTTTACCTTCCTCTCTCAACCAGGCACCACAGATAGAGATCTGGAGGGTGACTTTGGTAAGAATTCTCACCCTTTGGCAGCTTCTACCAGTTTTCCTGGATCCTGTCTGCAGGCTCTGGAGCGAGTGGGGTGTCCCAGCAGGCCTCATCCTGGTACCAGACACAGTAGAGGAGGAAAAATAATTTTCCCTCTTCGTGTTTTGTGTTTGGCTGAGACCCCTTTTTCACCAGGGCATCTTCTAAATGGATAATCTTAGCTAGGTTAAAAGTTCTCCACCATGGCCACTATAATTCAAGACTGTCTTTGGTAAGGTTAACTTACTTGCCCATCCTTGAAAGAAAATTTTATCCACTAAAGGCCTCACACTGGACCCAGTCCAGCTTAAGTCACGTCCAGTCCAGACCCAGACCCAGCCCAGGTTTTTTTTTTTTTTAGATTTTATTTTCCCTTTTCTTCCCAAAGCCCCCCGGTACATACTTGTATACCTTCAGCTGCGGGTCCCTCCAGCTGTGGCATGTGGGACGCCGCCTCAGCATGGCCCTACCAGCAGTGCCACCGCCGTGCCCAGGATCAGAACCGAGAAATCCTGGGCCGCCAAAGCGGAGGCGTGAACCCAACCACTGGACCACAGGGCCAGCCACCCCCTCCCCCGCCCCTGCACCGCCCAGCTTGTAAGTCGGACCCAATCTGACTCCCGTCAGTTTCCAGACCCAGTCTGGAAAAAGAAATGCTCAAATAAAGTTTGAAAACTCATAATGCAAGAGCTGCAGAGCTAGGATCCCAGAAGGACTTAACAACCACCTCCAGAGGCAGCAAGAAAGCAGTGAGCTCAAGGGGCTCCGCACGCACCCACCTGGTTGCTCATTTCTCGGGGGCACCTTCAGGGTCTCCCTCAGTTCCCTCATTTAACACCAGGACTGTCAACAGGTACAGAACTGTTAAAAGACAAACTGAGGGATAATTAAAAATTTTAAGAGTTTATTTGAGCAAAAATCAATTTGAATTGGGCAGCATCCAATGTAGCACGTAGAAAGGAGCCCCGAGGGGCTGTACAAGATGAAAAACCTTTATAGGCTGAAGGGAGTGGGGACAAGGAAGTTATACTAGGCAAGCAAATTAGTTATTGAAAAGTCACTTTCCTTTAGAGGATGGAAGGGGCCTATCAGGCAGATTACCTAACTAGTGCTGGTGGGGTGATTCCTGGTTGACTGGTGTAAAGTTCCTTCTCTGGGAAAGCCGAACCTGTAATTAAGTTAAGTCTTGGTTTGATGACGTGGGGCTTAGTATAAGTGACTCCATTTTGGGCCTGTTGTCTTGTTTTGAACAGATTAAAGAACTTCAGTTATGGAACTTCTGGAGAGGGAGGCTTGAAATTTGGATGCAAGCTATTGCTCTAAGTGGTAATTAAAATTTTTGTTGATTAACTTTTTTCTTGCCTGAAAGATTAATACATGCATATGATAAAAAATTTAAGTAGTACAAGAAGAAGCACAGTGAAAAGTAAATATTCCCACATCTGATCCCCGAGTGCCAGTTTGTCTCGCCAAAGGCAACTGTGCCATTTCCTAGAGTATTACCCTCAAATTAATCTGTAGATATGGACCTATATGTATCTTTTTCTGTATTGTACATCTTTTTATATAAATAGAGGTACCTGCTATACATGCTGTAGTATACTTTGCTTAAAATATGATCTTTACATAAATATCTTCATTCAATTCAAGAAGGTAAAGTGAATTTCTGAGGCATGTTAATTGCACACACTTCCATGTTGGTGTTCTCATTATTTTTTCCCCCAGACTGTGTTCATTTCTGCTAAAGCTGCAGAGGGCACTGTGGTCCTTCCAGAGGGAGGCAGGGCCTCACATAGGGTTTGGCAGTTCTTGATTGTGGTGCAAATTTTAGGGGTCAGAGAGCTCCTGGTATTACAAATATACATGAATTTGAAATACTTACCTGTGCTCGCTCACTTTATGAATTTCATATAAAATTAATTGCAATGTATATTTATATCATTCCATCCCCTTCAACAGGAGTAATTTTTGTTTAATAGATAAACAGTGTTTAATTTCAAAAGCACAAGTCTTTAATCTTGCAACAATTATCTGCAATGATTACAGACATAGTGTCCCTTTCCTTTTCGTCACGGTTACACAGGAGTTCAGTGGCAGATGGAAACTGTACTGGCTTGGGTCAGTCCAACTCCACCATTTATAAGCTATGCCACACTAGAAAATCATTTATCTTGTAATTCACCATTGTCCCATCCACAAAATGAGAAAATTGGATGAGAATATTTCTAAGGTTCCTTTCAGCTTCAATAAGTCTATGACATCTGACATCTTCATAAAAAAAGAAACTTGCTAAAATTGAGTATGGATGAGTGTCAAATAGAATACAGATGTATCAGAGGAAGGGAAAAGCAACCTAGGTTACAGAGAAAATCTAAGGTAGTCAGAGTGTTGCAGAGGCTGATGGCACTCCACCAAAATCCACTCTCCTCTTTCCAACCGGAAAGCGAGACTACATTCCCAGCTTGTGTTTGACAAATAAAAATGGCAAGCAATAGGATATATTGGAGTATATGAGCAAGCCGTTTGGTATAAACCTAATTCGGCCTGACCTTGTTTTTTCCAAAAGGGCTTGACTGTGGCTGTTGAGCACGCATTGTGTATCTGCTTAGACATTTCTTATGGCCAGAACAAAGGCCCTTGAGATAAAGGTGCAACTTCCCCCCACATTGGCATTTCCTTAGGGATAAGCATCTTTCCTTAGGCGAGGAACTGATTGCTGCACTCACCTTGGACCACCCAGCTCACCTGTGACCACCCAGCTCGAGACAACAGACTGCCACCCTGCTGCGTTCACTGAGACAGAAGACCTACCTGCTGTTTCCATCAATCGCTGTGCCGACAGAGCAGTCTCGCGACTATTGTAAAAGGGACATTTCAATCCTATGTGAAACATCCTCTCTGGGGGTATATAACCACTCTGGGCACCCCACTTCTTTGGTGCCCTTTCTTCCTTCGGGAAGAAAGGCCCTGGGTTATAATCCTCAGATTTAAGCTCAGAATAAACTCACCCAAATTTTCATTTATAGATTGATTATGGATTATTTTCGTTGACAATGTCAACCACTTAACATATTTACTGGCATTTAATGTGTTTTCAGTCATTTGCTACTGTCAACAATGCCGCAACTAATAGCCTGATATACATGTCCTTGCACAGTCATTCAAATATATGTATACATTCTTAAAACCAGAATTGCTTGCATAAAGGGTACATGTGCCTTCCATTTTTTGATATTGCCGAATTACCTTCCAAAATAATTTTATTAAATCAATAGTGTTTTCTACTCCTAAACAACGAACAATTATTAGCAACTGCAGGTCATGTTTTTGGTGAGAGAAAGGAGATAATTCTTGATGCTTCTTAAATCAACTAAGAAAAGGACTGAAAGGAAATGAAATTGCCTAAAGAAAATGTTAATACTTTACTGGGATACATATTTAAAACAAAGGAAAACCAAGCACTATTTCCGGACAAGAATTTAGAATCACTTTTCCACTTTCGCTAATAAAAGTTTGAGCTCATTACTAAGTGAGTTTTTCCACTCTTCAATAATTCTTTTCCTAAGTCAACCTTTTAGGAACTTACAGCCAATGAGAACAGGAGTTCAAACAAAAAGAAAGAGCAAAAACCTAAAACTCACAGTTTCTAAGGAGCACAAGATCCTTTTGCTTCTGGGCTGGGTAGTAACTTTCAACTCTTGTCGTTTTAAGGGTTTTTAGATTAAAACAGGAAAAAGTATGACCGTTTAAAGGTGGTAATTCTCTTTTGATTGTGGAAAAAAATTTCTCTGCCGTGTTTTCCCACCGATTGCAAAGTCTTTAAGGGTGGGCGAAGGACGGCGTTCGTACCGGCTGCCCGCCCTCCAGAGGCTTCCAGCAGACGGCCGTCGTCTCCGCTGCCGCCAGCACAGCCGCCCTCCGCGCCCCGTGGCCGCCTCTGCTCCAGACGCTGGAAACGCGCCTCCCCCGCGGCGAGCGTCCGGGGACGCAGGGGACGACGCGTGACGCCACGGGGCCGCCGCCCAATCAGACGCGGCGTCGCGGAAATTTTGAACTTTAAGGCGGCGCGGGCGGCGAGCCGGCCGGCGCTCGGCGGGATGGCGGAGGAGGCGGCGGTGGCCGTGTGCGTGCGCCTGCGGCCGCTCAACAGCAGGTAGGCCGTGGGCAGCTCGGCCGCTCGCCCTTGGTGCGCGGTCCCGGCCCGGGCAAGAGACGGGCCGGCCGGGGCTTCTCTCGACGCTGCGCAGCCGGCTCCCTGCGCGCCGGCCGCTGGCCCGGCCGCCCGGTGTCCCAGGGCGCGAGGCCCAGGCTGCTCGCTGCGCCCAGGCTTCGCTCCGGCGGCGGCTGGCTCAGCGTTCAGGACGCTGCGAGCCTGATATTCGCCCATTTGGAATTCTTTCCTTTCGGTACAGTGTAGACACTACCGTCGTTGCCCCGTGGATCTTACATTCTAGAGGAGGAGACACAGAGGTCATGAACCCTATAGAGAGAGAGCAGGAAGGGCAAGAAATGACGTCTGTTTGCTTCTCTAGTCTCTGCCCCTCTCTCAGAATACTAACACATTTTTGCATTTGAGAAATATGTGTTAAATGTTACTGTGTTAAATAAAGGGGAATATCAAGACGAGGACTTCCCTCTTGTCTAGGAGCTCATTATCTAATGCGTTAGAAGACAGCTCCGGAACAAAACCATCACGACGCAGTGACAGGTGCTGTGACGGGCAGGGGGGGAGTGTGCCGGAGGGGTCATTAGCCCTTCAGCGAGATGACGGCGTGGGAGACGGGCAGGGCTGGTGTCAGGAAGGTCCTGACACTTTTCAGGAAGAAAGAATAGTTACGTTACTTGATGGAAACGGAAGTCGGGGTATTCCAGGCGCAGAGGGATTAAATCTCTTCTCTTGTGGGAACCTTCAGATAGTTGATTTGTCTTGAGTTAGGGTGTATATAGGAAGTCAGAGGAAGCAAAGGTTGAAGAGAGAAATAAACATGATCGAAGTCTCACGTGCCGTGTGTTGAGGATGTCGGATGGTTTTGAAAGATGTTAAGCAAGAAGGATAATCGGAGTTGCGTTTGAATGTATCTTTTCAGCATACAGTGCTGGGTGGGGGAAGGGCGTGAAGAGCTTCCCAGGGACGCTCCGGTGAGAGGGCAGGAGGTCAGGGAAGCCCCATTTAAAAGTGGTGACCCCTTAAAGGTGGACTTTCCACATTTCTCCCAATTATAGTATAGGTCATTACCATCCTTTAAAATATTCTTCAGAAGACGAAATCTTTTAAATTATCTTTCATATAACAGACTTCAAAACTAGTTATAAAATGCACTGTTTTTATTCTTTTAGAGAAGAAGCTCTTGGAGAAGATACGCAAGTTTACTGGAAAACTGACAATAATGCTATTTATCAAGTTGATGGAAGTAAATCCTTCAATTTTGGTAAGCTTATAATAGCATCAAAAGTAAACATATTATCCTTTTCCTTTTAAGAGTACAAAAGGCTTATCCAGAATACTGGATTTGACATTAAAGATCAGACTAAGCCGTCTGTAAACTGCTTCAGTGGAAGATTTGAAAAATTGCTCATCCATCCTTTATGATAAGTAAGATAATGAATTGATGTTTAAAACACAGTTATAGTCATAGTGCCTTATGACTGAAACTAACATTTTTCCTCTTATTCATTAGTGTATTTGTGGCCTAAGACTCCGTAAGCCCAAAATATGTTGCTTAATGTCAAGTCATCTTTAAGATCTTTCAGTTAGGTATATTCTTTCCACAATTATTTTCAAGAAAACTCTTTAAAGAATAAATAGTGAAGATATTCCTTCTTGGCTAGAATATAGCGGGTACCTACTGCCCCTTTTGTGGAGCTTGTCATGTGGTGGGAAGAAAGACTTTAGACTACTAATTACACTTATGATGACATGGCTTTGTGGGAGTTTCTAGCAGGGGATCTAACTAGCTTAGGTACCCGGCACCTGTAGGATGAGCGAGAGCTAGCTAGGGCAAAAGGACTTGGAGGCCCTCAAGGTTGGCCAGGCTGATTTGTGTATTGATTTAGCACATTCTGTATAGTGCTGACCATGTGCCGGACACTGTTCTAAGCACCTCATATATATTAACTCATTTAATCCTCCTAACAAGCCTATGTGATAGGTACCTTCCCATTTTAATGAGGAACTGAAACGCAAGTCACACAGCCAGCAAATGGAGGAGTCAGATCTGTGTTCCAGCCACACTGCCATGCTGCCACGTAGGCACCACAAAGCACAGTAAGGTCCCCTCAACAACCTTAGGAGTGAGAGTGATTAGGTTGGTGACTTAGTGTTACGCTAGAAAGCCAATATCTAAGCCTTTAGAGCAAAGATGTATAGAATAGAAAATGATTCCTGGTAAAGGACTATTTGATAGTATCAACATAAATTTTTAAAAGGTAGAACAGTATGTTCCAGAGATTATAAAACCAAGAACAAGGGATACACAGCCATTCTGACTCAAGTGCTGCAGGTTCTCAGTAGCTGTGTATGCTCACAAGGGATTTGGACTCACCCACCTGTCTGAAGCAGCTGGTATTAAGATTTGAATCATCCTGCCATCTCTCCTTGCCCTGAACTCCTGACCCCTGGCAGCATTCAGATGGCACTTTGGTTTTCCATAGGGTTCTACCTACAAGTGCAGATGTTGGTCATGGTGCAAGCCGTGTGAGCACTGAATTTCTCAAGACAGTTGATACATTTCCCTCCTGACTGACAAATCCATTTCTTGGGGGCTTTCTAATGTGAGCCCACCACTGAGAGAGTGGTCCATTTTTGATGCACCAACAAAGGAGAGACCACATCCTGGACTGGTGGATTCATCATGGCAAATGCTACCTAACCCCAGCCCTCAGCAGCCAGCCAACCAGCTGTTCTCTGTAACACTTCAGCTTGGCTCGGTGCTTTTCTTCCAATTGTCTGTGTTTCTTGGTTTAGTTTGATATGTTAGATATGTTATAAACTTCTTCTTGCTAGATATGTTATAAACACTAAAATTTCTCAAAGAATAGTAATAGTTTGCATTTCCTAAGTATTAACCATATGTTTACAGTAATTCTCTAAGGAAGATAATATATATTCACTTTACAGGTTAGGGAAGTGAGGCACAGAGACATCATCCACGTTGACCGAGGTCACATAGCTTGTAAGTGACAGAACCAGGATTTGCAGGCAGTCTGATTCCAGATCCCCAGGTTCAGCCACTATGCCTCACTGCCTCTTGAAAGCACATAAGATAGCTGACTTGTGTTTTTTTGTGTGAGAACTAGCACATTTTACATTATAGAGAAGTGTATTTTCAGAGGACCAATAAGTTGAAGAAAATATTGTGAGTTAAATATTTTATCATACCATATCCTGACAATTTTATTTCTTTGGGCAGCTACTAATTCAAAGTGAAAACACAGTTGATTTGTTTGGTTTAACTTGTGTGGTTTTTTTTTTAGATCGTGTCTTTGACAGTGATGAATCTACTAAAAATGTGTATGAGGAAATCGCAGTACCAATCATAGATTCTGCCATACAAGGCTACAATGGTTTGTATCCACTGCAGAAACGTTTTATTTAGTCTTGGGTGTCTGTTCAACAGTATTGATAGTTTTACATACTCTCGATGCTTTTTCAATCTTTGTGTATATGTGTTTTTGTGTCCCCAGGTACTGTATTTGCCTATGGGCAGACTGCTTCAGGAAAAACATATACCATGATGGGTTCAAAAGATTATTTGGGAGTAATACCCAGGGCAATTCATGACATTTTCCAAAAAATTAAGAAGGTAAATAGCCAAATTTCCGGTACATACGGGTAAAAGTAGTCACCTCTTGTCATGGTGGAAGGAAGTAGGTTTACAGTTCTCTTTCGATTATCCACGGGGAAGGAAGAAAGGCATAGCGTACATTTGCTTTCCCCACAGCCTTACTTTATAGAGCTTAGAGTCCTTTCATTCTTTCCCTTGAATCCTGAAGCAGTGCTACTCCTGTCACAAAGCAGGCATTGAGGAACAAGAAATCTTAACACTGCCTTTGAGGAGCTGTCAGTGATCGTTAAGGAGGAGGAGAGGGTAGATGTGGTGAGAAGACCAGGATAGGCAACCTAATCAGTTAAGGCAGGTTTTCAATTTGTTTTTTCCTTACTGTTTAATGATTTTTAGTGTTCTTATCTGAACATCTGTTTGTAGGGTTTTATTTTGAGCTTAGAGAGTTGGACTGGGCACCCTCTTCTTCGAATTTTATGGTGCCATGCTTTTCATTATTTCTGAAACAATGCTTTTATATTTTTGTGTTTCCTTTTGTCAATATAGAACCATAGGATTTTTTTTGTTTGTTTTACAAAGATAACTTCTCAAAGAATATTTTAATGTTTATTATGAGCACATCAACATTCAGTATTAGGTTTTCATAATTGGGTGATCTCTGATGTTTTTACGTATGTTTTCTCCTAGTTTCCTGATAGGGAATTTCTCTTACGTGTGTCTTACATGGAGATATACAATGAAACCATTACAGACTTACTCTGTGACACTCAAAAAATGAAGCCTTTGATAATTCGGGAAGACTTCAATGTGAGTAACAGTAGCTCAAACAATACAGTTACTTATTGGGATTATACTTCATGAACATTAACCTTTACTTTCCATTATTTTTTAAAATGTATCCTGTTTCTGTGATTTGTTTTTTGTTTTCTTTCTTAAATGTTTATGAGATCATCTTTTAAGCGACATGTATCATTTTGAAATATTGACAGTTGTAATATTTTTGTGTAAGGGCCTCAAAAGAACGAGATGGAAGTATCAGGTTAGAATTTGGTGTGCTTTGGTATAGGATATAAATTGTAAATATCATAGATTTACTTCTTATTTTTATACAGAGTAATATTCTCCATTTTCTACTTTTAACTTCTACAAATGAATTCTGTAATAGTTTGCACCTTCTTTTGAGATGCACACTTTTAAGTGACTTCTATTTCTCTACTCTTCCCATCATTAACCTTGTTTCAGAGGAATGTATATGTGGCTGATCTCACAGAAGAAGTTGTTTATACACCAGAAATGGCTTTGAAGTGGATCACAAAGGGAGAAAGTAAGACTTTATGCTGTATTTCCTCAAAACACTTGTAAAATAGTAAAAACTATTCACTTGAATGTATTTAGGCTTCAAATCACACTTTTCACTTTTAAGCTACAATAAAAGTTAATGTTTTTCTTTGGATTTTAATATATGCCGCTGAAATATGACTCATTTTTACAGAGAACAGACACTATGGAATCACAAAGATGAATCAAAGGAGCAGTCGTTCTCATACCATTTTTAGGATGGTGGGTAATTCTCTCTCTACTTGGTTTTTCCAATCAAGAAGACACTAATTTTTCTACAAGTTGCCTTTTCTCTCTAGATTTTGGAAAGTAGAGAGAAAGGTGAACCCTCTAATTGTGAAGGATCTGTCAAGGTGTCCCATTTGGTGAGTATTGATAAACCCTGCTAATGTACTCTATGGGCCAAAGCAAAGTTTAATTCAGCTGCTGGATGTTTGGTTTCATAAGAACTGTTAACTAAATAGGGAAAAACATCTATAAATTGGTAGTTTATTCTTATCAGTGGCATGAGATTACTAGTTAAAATATAGGAAAAATTCAGGGGATCTTTCTTCCTCTTATGTTATGGCTGCCATCTCCTACAATTTAGATGTAATGGTTGTAGGAGTTGAGGCCTTTCCTAACCAGTAACGAAAGAGGATTTGGGGTTTTTTTCCAATCTACATTTAAAAATTAAAGTAGTCTTGGAATTTGGTGATTTTTTTTTTTAACTTAGTCTCAGCCAGTAGAATTGAGAGTTGTGAGATCAACAGAAACCTAGATGGGATGGTTAAAAAATAAATCACATATTCAAGTTCATTCTTAAGTACAATAAAAAAAATACGTTTTATATTATGAGCATAATGTTTTATGTTTTTTATTTTTTTTTAATGAAAAGAAATTACATTTATTTAACCGATGGAAATGTTGCCACGGTTGACGATGTATTCAAAGTATGCATTCTGTAGATGGCACTCTCTTTGGTTTACAGCACAGGGCTTCCCATGCATCCTCCAAGTTCTGTTGGATCATATGCTGATTAACCCAGAGTTTCTTTTTGTTTTCAAATGGAATATTTCTTCCAATAAACTTTATTTTTCCCCCAAGGTAGTTTCTTTCTTTTTCTTTTTTCTTACTGTTCTGTTGGACATGCGTGTCAGTGAAAGCAAATTAAAATGAACTGAGGGGGTTTGCGGCATTCTACAGATCTGAAGAATTTATTGCTACAGGAGAAACCATTGTGGTCTTTTTTATCATTTAATTTTAATAGTCTGTAGATATTGGAACTTTTTGTTCCTCCTTAATTGCAATTTTTCTCCCAAATGGTGGGTTGAATTTATTTATTTATTTATTTATTATTGAGTTAATGATAGGTTACAATCTTGTGAAATTTCAGTTGTACATTACTGTTTGTTATTCGTGTTGTAGGTGCACCACTTCACCCTTTGTGCCCACCCCCCACCCCACCTTTCCCCTGGTAACCACTAATCTGTTCTCTTTGTCCACATTTTTAAATTCCTCATATGAGTGGAGTCATACAGAGATTATCCTCTCTAACTGGCTTATTTCACTTAACATAATTCCCTCAAGGTCCGTCCATGTTGTTGCAAATGGGATGATTTTGTTCTGTTTTGCAGCTGAGTAGTATTCCATTGTATATATATACCACGACTTCTTTATCCATTCATCTGTTGATGGGCACTTAGGTTGCTTCCATGTCTTGGCTATTGTAAATAATGCTGCAGTGAACATTGGGGTGCATAGGACTTTTGGAATTGCTGACTTTAAGCTCTTTGGATAGATATCCAGTAGTGGAATGGCTGGATCGTATGGTAGTTCTATTTTTAATTGTTTGAGGAATCTCCATACTGTTTTCCATAGTGGCTGCACTAGTTTGCATTCCCACCAGCAGTGTATGAGGGTTCCATTCTCTCCGCAACCTCTCCAACATTTGTCACTATTAGATTTAGATATTTTTGTCATTCTAATGGGTGTAAGGTGATATCTTAGTGTAGTTTTGATTTGCATTTCCCTGATGATCAGCGATGATGAGCATCTTTTCATGTGCCTATTGGCCATCCGTCTATCTTCTTTGGAGAAATGTCTGTTCATGTCTCCAGCCCATTTTTTGATCGGGTTGTTTGATTTTTTGTTGTTGAGTTGTGAGAGTTCTTTATATATTATGGATATTAAGCCTTTGTCAGATATATGACTTGCAAATATTTTTTCCTAGTTAGTGGGTTGTTTTTTTGTTTCAATCCTGTTTTCATTTGCCTTGAAGAAGCTCTTTAGTCTAGTCTGATGAAGTCCCATTTGTTTATTCTTTCTATTGTTTCCCTTCTCTGAGAAGGCATGGTGTCCAAAAAGGTCCTTTTAATACTGATGTCAAAGAGTGTACCGCCTATGTTTTCTTCCTGAAGCCTTATGGTTTCAGGTCTCACCTTTAGGTCTTTGATCCATTTTGAGTTTATTTTGGTGAATGGTGAAAAAGAATGGTCGATTTTCATTCTTTTACATATGGCTTTCCAGTTTTCCCAGCACCATTTGTTGAAAAGACTTTCTTTTCTCCATTGTATGCACTCTGCTCCTTTGTCGAAGATAAGCTGTCCATAGATGTGTGGTTTTATTTCTGGGCTTTCAATTCTGTTCCATTGATCTTTGCACCTGTTTTTGTATCAGTACCATGCTGTTTTGATTACTGTAGCTTTGTAGTAAGTTTTGAAGTCACGGATTGTAATGCCTCCCGTTTTGGTCTTTTTTCTCAGGATTGCTTGAGCAATTCGGGGTCTTTTGTTGCCCCATATGATTTTAGGATTCTTTGTTCTAATTCTGTAAAGAAGGTCATTGGGATTCTGATTGGGATAGTGTTGAATCTGTAGATTGCTTTAGGTAGAACGGACATTTTAACTGTTTATTCTTCCAATCCATGTACATGGAATGTCTTTCCATCTCCTTATGTCGTCATCCAATTCTCTCAGAAAAGCCTTGTAATTTTCATTATGTAGGTCCTTCGCTTCCTTAGTTAAAGTTACCCCGAGGTATTTTATTCTTTTTCTTGCTATTGTGAATGGTATTGTGTTCCTGAGTTCTTTTTCTGTTAGTTCGTTGTTAGAATATGGAAATGCTACTGATTTATGCAAATTGATTTTATACCCTGCAACCTTGCTGTAGTTGTTGATTACTTCTAAGAGTTTTCCAATGGATTCTTTGGGGTTTTCTATATATAAGATCATGTCATCTGCAAACAGCGAGAGTTTCACTTCTTCCCTCCCTATTTGGATTCCTTTTATTCCTTTTTCTTGCCTGATTGCTCTGGCCAGGACCTCCAGTACTGTGTTAAATAAGTGTGTACAGTACTGTGTTAAATAAGTGGTGATACATGTCTTGTTCCTGTTTTCATGGGGATGGCGCTCAGTTTTTGCCCATTGAGTATGATGTTGGCTGTGGGTTTGTCATATGTGGCCTTTATTATGTTGAGGTAGTTCCCTTCTATGCCCATTTTGTTCAGAGTTTTTATCATAAATGGCTGTTGGATCTTGTCAAATGCCTTCTCTGCATCTATTGAGATGATCATGTGGTTTTTATTCTCCAGTTTGTTGATGTGGTGTATCACGTTGATTGATTTGCGGTTGTTGAACCATCCCTGTGTCCCTGGTATGAATCCCACCTGATCATGATGTATGATCCTTTTGATGTATTGCTGAATTCTGGTTGCCAAAATTTTGTTTAGAATTTTTGCGTCTATGTTCATCAGTGATATTGGCCTGTAGTTCTCTTTTTTTGTGGTGTCCTTGTTAGGCTTTGGTATCAGCATGATGTTGGCCTCATAGAATGTGTTAGGAAGTGTTCCATCCTCCCTAATTTTTTGGAATAGCTTGAAAAGGATAGGTATTAAATCCTCCCTGAAAGTTTGGTAGAATTCCCCAGGAAAGCCATCTGGTTCTGGGGTTTTATTCTTTGGGATGTTTTTGATTGCTGTTTCAGTCTCTTTCCTTGTGATTGGTCTGTTCAAATTGTCTGCCTCTTCTTGAGTGAGCTTTGGGAGATTGTAGGAGTCTAAGAATTTATCCATTTCCTCTAGGTTATCCGTTCTGTTAGCATAGAGTTTTTTGTAGTATTCTCTTATAATCCCTTGTATTTCTGCAGAGTCTGTTGTTATTTCTCCTCTTTCATTTCTGCTTTTGTTTATTTGAGCTTTCTCCCTTTTTTTCTTTGTAAGTCTGGCTAGAGGTTTGTCAATTTTATTTATCTTCTCAAAGAACCAACTCTTTGTTTCATTGATCCTTTCTACCACCATTTTCGTTTCAATAGTATTTATTTCTGCTCTGATTTTTATTATTTCTCTCCTTCTGCTGACTTTGGGCTTTGTTTGTTCTTTCTCTAGTTCAGTTAGGTGTAGTTTAAGATTGCTTATTTGGGATTTTTGTTGTTTGTTATGATGTGCCTGTATTGCGATGAATTTTCCTCTTAATACGGCTTTTGCTGTATCCCATATGAGTTGGTATGGCATGTTATCATTTTCATTTGTTTCCAGGTATTTTTTCTTCTTTAATTTCTTCAATGATCCATTGCTTGTTCAGTAGTGTATTGTTTAGTCTCCACATCTTTGTGCCTTTCTCAGCTTTTTTCTTTCTTGTAATTAATTTCTAGCCTTATAGCATTATGATCAGAGAAGATGCCTGTTATTGTTTCAATTTTTTTTAAATTTGTAGAGGCTTGCCTTGTTTGGCAACATATGGCCTATCCTTGAGAATGTTCCATTTGCACTTGAGAAGAATGTGTATTCTGCTGTTTTTGGATGAAGTGATCTATGTATGTCTATTAAGCCCAATTGTTTTAGTTTTTCATTTAGCTCCACTATTTCCTTGTTGATTTTCTGTCTGGATGATCTGTCCATTGATGTGAATGGGCTGTTGAGGTCCCCTACTATTGTTGTGTTGTTTTTAACATCTTCCTTTAGGTCTGTTAATAGTTGCTTTATGAACCTTGGTGCTCCTATGTTGGGTGCATAGATATTTATAAGTGTTATTTCTTCTTCATGAAGTGTCCCTTTGATCATTATATATTGTCCCTCTCTGTCTCTCTTTACCTGTCTTATTTTGAAATCTGCTTTGTCTGATATAAGAATTGCAACACCTGGGTTTTTTTGCTTGCTATTATCTTGAAGTATTGTCCTCCACCCTTTCACTCTGAGCCGGTGTTTGTCCTTGAGGCTGAGGTGTGTTTCCTGGAGGCCACAAATTGTTGGATCTTGTTCTTTAATCCATTTTGCCACTCTGTGTCTTTTTATTGGAGAGTTCAATCCATTTACATTGAGAGTGATTATTGATTCATGTGGACTTAATGCTGTCAATCTGTCGCTCGTTATCTGGTTTTCCTGTGTTTG